AGCCTGATCTAGTGGGAGGTGTCCCTGCTCATGGCAGAGGGGTTGGAACTGGGGGATCCTTGTGGTCCCTTCCAGCCCTGACAGATTCTGATCTGTTTTAGCAGAGGACTTTAGAGCCCTCATGGCTCAACGGTTGGACTGGATGATCTTGGAGGTCCCTTCCAACCTAAAGGATTCTAGGATTCTATGTGCAGCTCCAGTAGCATTGTGGGACCTTTTGGCTGGGCACAGAATCTTCACTGCAAGGCTGGAGTAGAGCAGGAGCAGTGGAGGTGAGGCAAGCTTGCAGTGACTGAGGTGTGGGGCTCAGGGGAGACCTTCTGGCTCTGGGCAACAACCTGACAGGAGCCTGGAGCCAGGGGGGGGTCGGGCTCTGCTCCCAAGGGACAGGAGAAGAGGGAACAGCCTCCAGTTGCCCCAGGGGAGGTTGAGGTTGGCCCTGAGGAGCAATGTCTCCCTGGCAAGGGCTGTGCAGGGCTGTGCCAGGCTGCCCAGGGCAGTGGTGGAGTCCCCACCCCTGGAGGGGTTTCCAAGCCCTGGAGATGTGGGGTGAGGGACACGGGGCAGTGGAGAAACAGACCTCAGCCATCAAAGGCCAAAGAGATTTAATCAGTTTTGATCCCAGCTCTCCAAAATCCGTGGATTTAAGCAGCTCTGAAAGCAACAGATGTGGGAATAAACTCCTTCCACGAGTCTTGCCTACACCTCTACAAGTCAGAAGTGCTCCTGCCCCTACACAAACCTCAGCACAGATAATTTAAAGCCCTTTTTCTGGGCTTTAATTCCATCCCAGCTCCCAGGAAATTCCGTGTGACCCAAGTTAGATTTAAAATTTACTATGAAATCACCATTTGCTTTTTGTACTTTATTACTAATTATGAAGCTATTCAACTTTTCAGCTGCTTCAATCTATAGTCTCCTGGGTATCACACACACAGGTTCCAAATTTAGCCCAGCTCCTGGTTTTGGTTGCAGTCAACACACCTTAAGGGGTCTCATCCAGTGAGAATCAAGTTTTTTGGAAAAAAACCCAAACCTTTCATTGGAAAATTGGATTAAAAGTACTTATTTAAGTGGTTTCCTGCTCTTCCATGCTGGTCCTCAGCTCAAGGTTTCTCTGTGAGTAGCCAAAGGGTTTTGTAGCTTGTTTGAAACACAAACCCCATCACTCTTCACAGCAACTCTTCCACCAAAGTCCTTCTTGTGGTTGGAAGAGACCTTTAAGATGATCAACTCCAACCATCCCCCATCCCTGCCAGGTCCCCACTGCCCCGTGTCCCTCACACCACATCTCCAGGGCTTGGAAACCCCTCCAGGGGTGGGGACTCCACCACTGCCCTGGGCAGCCTGGCACAGCCCTGCACAGCCCTTGCCAGGGAGACATTGCTCCTCAGGGCCAACCTCAACCTCCCCTGGGGCAACCTGAGGCTGGTTCCTCTTGTCCTGTCCCTTGGGAGCAGAGCCCAACCCCCCCATTGGCTCCAAAGATGTATCACCATGAACTTGAGCTGCTTTGGACTCTCCTGGTGATACTTTCAGGGTGTTTCTTGCTCCACAGAATCCCAAATTTGTTCTTTTTTCCCAGATTTCAGGGGGAACTTGTCCACAGGAGAAGCTCAAGCCCTGTTCCCACCTCTCCCTTCCATCCCCACCGAGGTGGTGTCTCACCATGTTCTGAGCACCAGCACTTCAGTTCTGAGCCTTCATCCCTTCGTTCAAGGGAGGTAGCCAAGAGTAGGTGGGACTTCAAGTCAATTGTTGTGTGAGATTTATTCAAGTGTTGGGTTTTAATAATCCACATTTTCCTGGTTGATACTCCAGGTTTTATGTCATGCTTTGGTGCCACAGCATCTCCACCTTGAGAGACTCTCCCTACCTTGGGGAGACTCATGGAGTTGCTGTGGTTGAGGGATACCCACCATGGGTTTTCCTCCTGCTCACAATTTCTCCATGAGGTCCTGGTTGCAGCTTATGACAGAATCCCACCATGGTGGGGTTGGAAGGGACCTCTGAGGATCATCTCATCCAACCCCCTGCTCCAGCAGGTCACCCACAGCAGGGTGCCCAGGGTCACATCCAGGTGGGTTTGGAATCTCTCCAGAGAAGGACAAATGGAAGAGGAGCCAGAAGATGGAAACAAGGATGGCTAAAAAGGTTTGATGTAAGAGGACAAGAATGGGATTGAGGTTAACACAGAAAGGAATCATAAGGGGAGACAACACTGTGTTTGAAGGAACTCTTATCTTCACCCCACTGTGGGGATAGATGGTCTGGGGTGGGAGCAGGGACAAGAAGAACCTGAAGCCACCCCTGGGGATTTCCAACTTTGGTGTTTGCAGAGCCCAAAACCTTTTAGGCAAATTGTGGGACCTTAATGGTGGGTTCAGGCTTACCCTCCTGGAGCCTGAGGATGATAAAAGATGAGAAGGTGCTAGGAAGGGATGATGCACAACCACTGGAGGCTGTTGGCCAAGGTCTAGGTTGCACCAAGCCTGGACCAAGACCTTGAAAATCATCACCCATCCTCTTAAGTCCTGTAATTTCACAATCTGCTGGTTCAGGTTAATTCTTCCTTCAGTGGGGCTCTTCCTGGTGGAGCCCTGTGGGCTTCCTGCCCTTCCCTCTGCAAGATCTCAGGAATAGCTGCAAAGGGAGAAGAAGACACGTTGACCTCTTCCATCTGTCCCTTCTCTGTGTGATGGAGTTGGTGTTTGTCTTGCATGGTGATAATTACTCCAAATTATGGAAGTGCCAGACAAATGTTGACCTAAGAGCAGGTTTATTGCTGGCTTCTTCTCTGCTTCCCTCTGGGAGGAGCCTGGTTGTGTTGGTCATCTTGGCAGCCTGGGCCCAAGGTCTGAGGACCTGATCCTGCTCCCTCCCATGGTGCTTTTTGATGCTGTTCTCAGTATTTCCCTCCATTTGCCTTTGTTTGGGATATTTTCATCCAGTCAAAGCTTGAGGTCCTGGCTTTTTGGCAGCTGGGGAGAAGCTGGGACGTGGAGGATGGAGACCCCACCAAGGGAGACCTTCCCTTGGTGACCAGGGGAGATATTTCCTATTTTCCCAGCTCTACAAAACACTTCAAGGCACAAAGAGCACGAGGGGGAGGTGACCAAGGGACCTTAAGAAGGTTTGAGCAGCACCTCTTCCCCTTTGCTCTCTCTTGGTTTCATCCCTTAGGATCTAACCCTGGTGCAGGGGGAGACAAAGTTCTCCTCACCCTGCAAGCACCAGCGAAGGTGCAGGGAGGTGTCTTCTGAAGGTGCTTCAGAGACAGTAGATCATCA